TGAGACTGACTGTTGCCTGCCTTATTGTCAAATCTCCTCTTATTCTTTACTAACAAAACCTTTATTTGAGTTGGGCAGCACTGTGCCTAGTATTTTACCCTCCCTAGACACTAAGTTTTGTAAGCCAGTGATAATTTCTGCTTCTTTTGTAGTCTTCAGTTTCCCTATTAACACCAGTTTTCCCTCAGTTAGACTTTCATTTTCATTTCTGTAGTGAAATCTGTTAAAAATTTTCTTCATAGAAAATGCCTTTACAGAAAACTTATTTGAAAAAATAAATAAAAGAAAATGATGCCAGGCACATTAAATATTTTTCACAAATATTTGTGAATATTTATTGAATAAATGACTAAGAAAAAAGCTTCTCAATAACAATAAATATTTCAGTTTTGTCATGTCCTTATGCCATTAAAAGGAGGAGTATCTTTTTAAAAATAAAAATCTCAGAGAAAAGCAACATTTTCAGAGTCACTTTTAATTTTTCCTTTCTTAGTCTCTTTTTCTTTGCATTTTTGGCCTGAAAGTAGTAGATAATGAATACTGAAATCCTTGTGGACTTCCTAAAGAAAAAAAAAAACTTAATATTTACACTTCAATGTCCTGTTCTCTACAGTTCACAAGGAATGCCTTTCAAAGTAGATTGTTATATACTTAATTATCTAAAATCCTAAGAAAAATGCAAATATCTTTTACCCAAATATCCTGCCTACATAAATAAAATTTACTCTATTCTATACTTATAGAAGGAGCCCTGGTGGCACATAGGTTAAGCACTTAGTGACTAACTGAATGCTTGGCAGTTTGAACTCACCCAAGCAGCTCTGTGGGAGAAAAGACCTAGAGACCTGCTCCCAAAAAGATTATAACCAAGAAAACCCTAAGGGCCAACTCTACTGCATTACATGGGACTGCCAGGAGTCCCAATCAGTTCAATGATGCCTAACAACAAATTATAAAAATTATTCCTAGTTCAACCTTACTTTCTATTATTCTCACCAATCAAAAACAAAACAAAATGAAAATAATGACAAACATTGGGTTCACCAAGTTCTTACAGTGTGGTGAAGCAGAAGTTTGATACCCTTTTCAAAGGGGTTTTGCTGGCTAAAATAGATTAAGAGGAATTAATTAGAAGGAAGACAGCTAGTATAGCATAAGCATATAAAGAGTATTATAGTTCCAGGTAGTTTAAAATAAACTTATTGCCATCGAGTTGATTTGACTCATAGTGACTCCTCCTTGGCTTTGTGAGGCGGTACCTCTACAGAAGTAGATTGCCAATCTTCCTTCCGAGGAGTGGCTGGTGAGTTTGAACCGATAGCCTCTGGTTAACAGTCAAACGCCTGGGCACTACACCACCAGTTTATCACCTCTAAAATCATGGCTTTCACAGAAGCTGGTAGGAGGTGTTAGATATTTAACTACTGATAGATGCTGACAGGTAGCTGATTCTACAAATGATCTTTTACCACATTTGTAGACTGAAGTAAATAAAAAGATAATAAATATATTGAGAGCTGTTTTCTACTTCTTTTGTCAACCTTGTATATTTACTTGAATTACGGGCTTTTCTTTATTTCTTATTTTAAAGACAATAATTAGGTTATTGTCTTTTAGTTAATAATAAATTTACCTAAATTTCAATAAATGTGAACACTCACACCTCTCATTTGATTATATTATACAAATTTATTCAATGTTTTCAACAAATGTTTGCTATTAGTAAATATACATATAATCATTATCTCAAGCTTAGAAATATCTTTAGTCAAAATGATTAGCTTATGCAGAATAACTATGATTTTCCATTGTAGATATCTGACAAGAAATTAACTCCAAATTTTTATCTTAAAAATGTATAGCTTTATGTATGGAAAATGAATTTGCTCAGTAAATTATCACCAAATCACAATTTTTTTTTTTTTTTAAAAAGGTATAGCATTTAAATATCAATGTAAATTTTTAAAATGCCTTAAATAAAATAGGATGGAAAAATTACATTTTCCAAGTCAAATGTTTTATTAGAGGAGTGATTATGAATACTAATGAATCTCATTTGCTATCCACCACCAAAGGTAGATATATGTAGCTTGGAATACTGTAGTTGTAACATTTAAAATCATTTTGTACAATTTTCATGCATTTGGAAAACTCTGAATGTTTAGCTTTATTGAATTACATGGGAGTTGTTTTCTATGTAAGTACTACAAACAAATTATGAAGAAAATGTGAAAAATACAAGAAAGTAGAAAGAAAACAAAGATCCTTTCCCCAACCATTATATCCATTATTAAAATATTTATACATTTTCTTCCAGTCTTTTAATACAGAAGTTTGAATAGTTTGGTTTTTTAATATATAGCTATCATACCATTTATAGAATTTGTATAAAGGCAGACATACTATAAACATACAAGAATCACCACTGCATGGTAATAGTATCTTTGTCCCAAACTGTATTTTACCTATTCCACAAAATTAATGCCAATCAAAATAATTACACATCACAGTTAACTCTAACAGGAATAGTCTTTACTCATTCTCACAGAAAATTCTTATACAACTACACACATTTCTAATTAACTATGTGCTTATACATATTACTCATAATATATAGATACACATAAGGCCATAAACTACATGCATTTTTAACTAATGAAAATATTTTCTTAGAATACTTACCTTTACCTGTTAGTTCCTAAAAGCATCCTGAAATAAATCCAATTCACTAATTTTTAAAATGAGAATTAAAAAAATTTCAAACCAAACTCATTGTCATCAAGTGCTCTGAAAATTGCTAATATTGTTCTTTAGTATAAGCTGCATGTTGGCAGCTTAACATATACTAGTTTTAGTGATTCATCCTATTTCTTTGGTTAGAATTGATTTCCAAACAAAACAATATGCATTTTTTTTTTTGGAGGGGGACCTGATTATGTTTAATAGAAAGTGAATGGATGTCAAAGAACTTTCTGCTTTGCCTCATGAGGCTTTATAGATTAAGTGTAATTACCACTGATCTAAAGCTAAAAATCCTTTATGAACTGAACACCAATTAGCTTTCCTCTCAGAACAAAAGTTTATTGAACTCACAAAAATAAAGATATCTTTGGCATAAATAAGAAAGTAAGGGTGTGATAATAGGAACTAGAAGATTAAAAATGAAAAGAATTTTTAAATAAAATATTATTGCCTTTTAATGATTATAATTTAAATTATAAAGTTGATGCAGTATACATGGAGTATATAAAATACAGTGTTTCATTACAATTCTGAGAATTTATTTGGTGACAGCTTTAATCTGAGTCATTTTTTCCCCTAATTTAGAAAAGAAAAAGAAAAAAAGAAGTATACTAGAATATATTTCCATAAAAATTTAAACCCCACATAAATACATTGTGGCATTTTAGTACTACCTGTAAAAAGACAGGTGGATTTGGACATAACTTGTTCTTTAAAAAAATCATGAACAACAATGGAAAATACAGGGTTTATGATGCATGCAGAAAAACACTGTCAGAAATTTTGGGTTCTAGCTACGCATCTGCCTCGTTGAGGCTGTGTAACCTTTGGAAATTCTCTTAATCTTCTGCATTCTCAGGATAATACCTCTTGCAGAATGAGGAAGGCCTGTTCCATTTTTATACCCTTAAAATTAGAGGGTAAAATATGATGGAAAAGCTTGCCTGTTCACAGTAGAAAATACCAACTGCCAGGAAGAATTTCTTTTTTGAAGATAATGAGTGAAAGAGGAGAAAGGGAAAAGTTGAATCAAAAAAAGAGAAAACATTAACTTGAGTTGGCTGAGTATTTTAACCTTTCTGAAACAATTTTATAAATATAATCTCATTTTAACTCCATTATAATCCTATGAGACAGGAAGTGTAATTATTATTGTATTTATTTGGCAGATAAAGAAATTGAAGGAAAATGGGCATTACTATATTTTAACACAAGGTGTTAAACTGTTTTGCCAACCATGCCCTCCTCTTGAGGTATTTTTGTAAACACACTATGCTAATTTTTTTTTTACAGCAACTCTCAGGGAAATCCATTGGAGGAGGGCATGGTTAGCAAAACATGCATACCTACAGCAAAGCTAGGAGGAATAATAATACACAGTATGAGTCTGCAGGGAGCACCGGTGGCACAGTGATTAAAGCACTTGTTGCTCCACGGGAGGAAGAGGTGACAATCTGCTAAAGAATCGCAGCCTTGGAAATTCTATGGGCCAGTTTCACTGTCCTGTAGGGTCAGGATCAACTCAGTGGCAACAAGTTTGGTAGCTCACATGAGTTGGAGTCAACTTTATGGCACACAACCATGACAAGCTGAATACAAGTTAATAACAAAGGGAAAACATCAAAGGAAATATACAGGAAATGAGGTCTTTGTGGTGGGTTCTTTGTGCTGACTTGTGAGATTGTGTACTTAGCCCACAATGTCTAGTTTAAGAGGAGCTATGGTGATAAGTTTAGAAACTTATAATTATGTTGAAAAACTCAATTTCTGCAAAAAGTAGAAATTTTATTTCTCTAAACTTTAAGGAACAAAAAAATTACCAAACTTTTGAATAATGCATCACAGACCATGCCATAATCAAATGGCCAAGGTCCTTCAAAAACTAAGATCTTTTGGACTGACTTAAAATAACATGATTTTCCTACTTTACCTTTTAGGGAACTAATGTTTTCCTGTATTTCACATGAAATGAATGATCAGATATTTTTATACCTGTATAAATTGTAAAATCATTGATAGAATTAATTAGCAGGAAAAAAGTTTACTTGAAAAATGACAAGGATATCTATTATGTAAAATTTCCTTGTTACTGAAACATAGTAAATGGAGGCCTTAGTGAGTATCTACCATAAAGTTATATGTATAGCTTCACGAATAACTAACAAAATGCAATGCTTCAGAGTGTAGTGAAATTTACTTCATTGAAGTTAAGGTACTACTTTTTGGTTCAAAGACTGTACTGTTTAAAAAGTGGATACCTGCGGTCCATCTCTGGCTTCATAGAAGTCACCCACTCTTATTTTTGCACTGAAGCTGAAATTGTCCCTTGAGATATCCATTATTCCATTTCTGCTGAGATACTGAAAAAATCACATATTTTTCCACTTCAGGTTTTAATAATTACAACCCAGCTTTGATGTATAGCTATCTTCAGGACACTAACGTTTTGGACATTCTATCAAGGGGCTAAAGATTTACAGAAGCGCAATCTAGGTAAAAGTATATTAGTCCCATACAAGACTTTATCTGAGGAAGGAGTGCACATTTTTTTTTCCATAAGCATGCTCGAGAGTTACCAAATGTATATTATTTGGTGAAAAAGTATGTACCTTTATTACTTCAGGGTACTGTCTAAGTTTCTTTCCACATGGAGCATAATATGCCACTTCTCCTTGAATGCGCCCTCCAAAGTTTCTTATTCTTGTCTCTCTTTGCCAGCTACACATAACAGAAATGAGGGTTATGACACACTTAATCTTAGTAAGGCTTAAAAAGAAAGAAAAGAAAATTCAAGTATATATGCTCTTTAGAAAATAAGAAAAACATAAAGAAAAGAAAAATAATCCCATAATCATAAACTCACTGCCATCAAGTCGAATCCGACTCATAGTGACCTCTCCTTGGACTTTTGGGGCAGAAGTAGATTGCTCAGTCTTCCTTCTGAGGAATGGCTGGTAGGTTTGAACGGCCAGCCTTCTGGTTAGTAGTCAAATGCCTTAGGCACTGTGCCACCAGAGCTCCCATAATCATGTTGTTGTTGTTGTTGTTATTGTTTGCCGTCGAGTTGGCCCCCGACTCATAGCGACCCCTCCTTGGGTTTCCGAGGCAGTATCACTACGGAAGTAGAATTGCCCAACCTTCCTTCCGAGGAGTGGCTGGTGGGTTTGAACCGCCAGCCTTCTGGTGAGCAGTCAAGTGCCTTAGGCACTATGCTACCAGAGCTCCCCCATAATCATACAACCCACAAATATTTACCACTGAAATTATTTTTACTTTTAGTGAATCATTTATTAAAAATGATTCAATTTAAAAATACTGAACACCATGACATTTTAAAAATCATACCTAGTATTACTTTGGGTACTCAGAAATATTCAGTAACATGAGTCAATGTGTAGTAATTTTTTATATCTGCAAAACTTCAAGTGAGAAGAGTGGCTCACTGTTCTTTGGGGCTCATGTACTTCCAGGTCTAAACCTGTCAGTTCCAATAAAATCCTTTTAACCAAACTCTGCTTGATTCCTTCAGTTTTGTCTGCAGTGGCTTTTACTGTCCTTTAATTTTATCTTCAAAAACAAACTTCTTAACTGTATTCCTGCCCTTTGCCAAATAATTTGCTCTTGGTTATTTTTCAGTCAAATTCCACCTTGCTGCATGAGCCCATACCACCTCTGCCATACCTCTGCACAGCAGTTAGCTTTAATTTCAGTTATCCATTATTATCAACTTCTGTGCCTTTTGCTCAGCCACTCATTGGAAGGAAGACTGGTCAATCTACTTCCGCAGTGATACCACCTCAGAAACCAAAGGAGAGGTCACTGTGAGTCATATTTGAGTCCATGGCAATGAGTTTTTTTCTTCCATGCTAATAAATACTATGCAGTATATTTACTTCTTTATTAATAGTAGAGAATAAGAAATCCAGTATGTATCAAACATGCATAAACATACAGAGGGAAAACAAAAAAGAGAAACCTTATTTTACATACCCATATTCCAAGGGAATACGTAGTTCACGTTCATCTGTTACTCTTCTTCTTTTGGAATTGCCTTCAAGAAAATTCAACCAGTTAATACAGATGACAATTTTCAGGGTAGTTTAGCCATTTTCTTTTAAAATAATATTTTAGTGACTTGGATTATCTAGTTTATTTCTACAACTTGCACATTATTTTTAAGTGGTTTTCAACGGAACAGGTATAAGGCAGAGAGGCTTTCTTTTTATTTTGTATCAATGACAGAATTAGCCTCTCTGTAAAGAAAATGCAATCCAATGTAAAAATATGTAACTTTTTTCTCCTCTTTAACATAGTTATTAAAGAAATGGTTACAGAAGCAGGAGGGAAATAGTAGGTAGATGTTTCAGAAAATTTGCTAATAGTTGTTTCTCTGAAAATGTGAGTTTCTCCTTCTATGTCCATATATATCCACAGCCAAAACAACTGTTTTAATTAATCTAGAGTACAAAGGTAAGATTATGATTATTTGCAAAATTTATCATAGATAATGATCAATTTTAAAAATACAAACACATGCATCTTATATTAGTAGTAGACTAATGTAGAAATTACCAAAAAGACAATGAAATGTAGGAAACAGTTACGTAGTATTTTACTATATGTATCTTTCTTTCCATAGCTATGGAATATGAACAGAAAGTATTTTAGAATATTAAATGTAGAAACTTTTCATGAAGATCTCCAGAAGTTTATGAAAGGTCAAATAGGAAAAAAAAAAAAAAAAAGAAAGAAAGAAAGACATGGCATATGTTATATAAAAGTCCAAATATCTGTAATAAACTTCTGTACTGTAGAAGCACAAACTAAACACAAATGCAGGTAAGTAGTCAAAATTGACAGCTGTCATCAATCAGGTTCTTAAATTGGAAGCACACACAGTAAAAGTACATGCTGAGTTTTCACAGCCAACCTAAAATCTAGATATAACACTTGATTCCAACAAGATCATCTCCTGACATTGTCTAAAGATTCTTGCTATAAGTTGAATACTATTTTACAATAATAAAAATAAGGTGTAAGTACCAGAATGCGGACTTGAAGTAAGTGCAGAAGAAGGTGTGCCCGGAAAAGCAGGTGACTGGGGTTCAGAACCTAAGGCAGCAGGAGCAGAGCCTGGGACTTTTGCTACGTGGAGGTTACGAGGTGTTGAGTGGGCTGCGAGGCTGATGGAAGGGCTTTTGACAGATGGAGCAGTTTTATTCAGTGTCATGGAAGTTTTCTCTCCTTCAGTATCACTATCTGATTCATCTTGGTCTTTCTCATCATCATCTTCTTCTTCTGATCCTTCCGTATCTGATTCTGAATTACTATCTGATTCTGGGAAGTAAAAGAAGTATTGCATATTATAACTAGAAAATCACCAATGGTTTGTAGTTTGTATCTAAATGGAATAGCTCAGGAACAAGCATCTGTGACTGAGAACTCAAATGAGCAACTTTCCCCAAGAGTAAGTGTAAAAACTACTACCATACGGTACTAGAGTACAATGTATTGAAACTATAAATTCTCAAAATTCTTCCTTAAAACTATCAGTTTTACTCACTCTAATCATTAACAGTTCTTCTAACATGACATGTTCTCATGATAAGTTCTGCTTAATGGCTTCAAAAACACTTTTAGTTTAATGGAGAAACTGAGGTATACAGAGACAGAACTGATGACTCAACCTAACAAGCACCAATGGTTTAAGAAGTATACTAAGCTCAGTGTGAGGAAGAGAAGTCTGGTGTCACCATTACCCTTTCTTCTGGACTTTAAAGTTAAAGAAAACAATTTTCTGGAGAGATTCTTGGCTTCTGTGGCTGTAGTTTTTCTATACAGGTGGAAGACTTCATGAGGTTTCCCAGACTTCATGAAAGACTAGGCCTACAGAAACAATTACGGTAGGATAGTAGAGTGGTTTGCTAATTTAAGCTTGTTCTATCTATGCAGGCCTCTCATCCCAAACCCTTTCTCAATTTCAAACCAAGAGCAAGGCTTTGTACTTCCTTGAGGAAACGGGAGAGGGCTGGGTAGGGACTGCTGGGCAGGCAGTTTAATGAAGTATGCTTTCTGTAGACACACACATGAAGAAATTACTTATGTGTACTCTAGAGAGGAAGGCAGTGGCAGCATGTCCCCCAGTGGTGGGACAAGAATGATCCCCAACTTCCAAAGCTTGCTTCATAGTAGTCTTGTAACACATTAGACACTATAGGCCTTTCCCCCTCTTTTCTGGAATCACAACCATTCCAGATTCCCTGGAAGGGGAAATTGAGATAAAGTTACCTGACATCATAGTGGGATGCAGATGTCAGCTGAAAACGAATTTAACAGAAATAAAATCTTTCTTGTACATTTGAGCTTCTGGGCTAAGATTCACACCACATACCACCATACAAATTTTAAGGAAGATTAACTAAAGAACGTACAATGCACTCACTCCTCCAGATATGTAAAATCTGTTTCTGGATTAAGCATAAGTGTAGAGCTGATACATGCACTGTATCCTAACGGCTCCCAACAACAGCTTTTGTGGAATTGTGTTTGGTGTGATGCTTTCCGCTTACATTAGGGTTCACAATTAAAAAGTTTATGAGTTATCAGTATTGATATTCATTATTTATCATAAAAAGTTATATTTATGGGAACCCAAGGGAAAAAAATCTTACCAGGAAAAGCTGTTCTTAACCTTGAACAAGTAGTCTGTTTTTACATTACAGACACTTTAGATTGTACAACTATATTTTCCTATTCATATTGGCTACTAGAAAATTTATAGTGGGATGTGTGGCTGGCTGGCCCATAACAAATTCACAAACTTGTATAACATGCCTTTCTCCTTTGTACTTTAAATTTAAGCTATCTTG